TCCTGTGGTTTCTGTGTCACTTCTTTGTTTAATTCTGTATGTACCTGTCCATTGAGTTGGATCCTCAGTTCTTGCGACTTCCTCTGTTGTTCTTCTGACAAACCCATCTGACCCCTAAATTCAGCATGCGAGGGGTTTGATTAATCTAGTAAATATTATCTATAAAATCTCATGTCAGACACAATGGTGAAGAAAAAATAATTACCTCCATAGCCAGTCAACAATTTCTCCTTTCCCAATATGCTGCTCAAGCAATAGTGGTACATCATCTGGACCCACATAACCATACCTTCAAAATATTCATGGAAGAAAAGAAATAACAAAGGCTCAAGTACCAATAAATTGTATAAGAAAATCTCACCAAGAAGAATTATGCCTGTGTAGATATAAATGGATCTAATTTTTTTTTAAAAAAAACTGTTTCTCTTACCAATGCCCAGTGACTGCTCCATTGATGTTGGATCCAAATATAATAACATTTCCTGCATACTTGTGGCCCCCAATGTGCGAACATGGGCTTACAGACACTTTACCTTGAAGACCACGCAGTTCTATCTCTTCTCTGAACCTACTGATCAATGCAGGTCCACAAACTCCACAACGACGATCACGGGACCCATGAGAACATACAAAAACATATGAGCCCTTTAAGGTTTCAGGAGTTCCCGGTAACCATTCACCATCTTTAACAAGTACTTCATCGACAAATGTGTCAACATCAAAATGAGTTAACCTCCTGCATTATTTGCCAATATCAAAATCGTCATTACTAGTTGAATAAGTGAAAGCAACTTAAGAAAAAAGCATCTAAGAAGACTTCAAAAAAAACTCTAACCACCTGTATCTCATCATATCTGGAAATATTAGTACGTCCCCGTTTGATGTCTCTGTTCCATCATGACCTTCACATATTGTCAAGCGGGTCTAAAGCAGAAAAAGACAGTGAAAAGAGTTGACTCAAGAGGCTAACTGAGAAAGTTAGAAAAATCACATTTGAGGAAATAGAAAGTAGAACGTGTAATAGCTGACAGGAAACATTTATATGACATGCTCTTTTTGGTTGCATAACAGAAGGCAACAATTCAATCAAGACAGACACCTAGGATCAACAAAAAAATTGATCGAAGATAGTCCACACACCATTATTAGAACATATCCAATGAGCCATATTTGTATATTTCCACTTACTGTTCTTAAGAACAAAATTTTATATTGACTGATTGACCGTATAACCCAAAGAAGACCCATTCTTCTTGGTGATTTTTTTTTTTGAAATAAAAAGTATAAGTGTATTAACAAAGTAACAAGGGGGTGCCACTAATGTACAAAAGATATTTACATTTCAGTAAGGCAGTCAATCACATACGAAAAATCTTCCACCCTATACAAGCCATGCCCAAGTAAAAGTGACTCAAACAAATGTAGCCATCTCTCTCTAATTTTCCTAATATCACTATGCACCCCATCAAAAGCCCTCCTATTTCTTCATTCCATATAACCCAAAACATAGTCATATTCTTCTTGGTGATTTTAACTATTTTAATATCTGAGGTTCCAAATCTTCAATTACTTAAGATATATTTCATCTCACTGTTGCTTCTGTGACAGAAAGAACTTGCAAATACATGTGGATGGAAGGCAGCTCCTAAAATATATACCACAGACAACAAAAGAGACATCACATGCTTAACAAACAGAACCTGAAAATGCGTGTGGATGCAAGGCAACTGCTACATTATATATGACAGGCAGGAAACAAAAGTGGGTATCACTTTTTAGAAAAAACATGTGTGGATGCAAAGCATCCCACAGACAGGAAAAAAAAAGTAGTGTTGCTTCTATTACAAAAAAAAGAACTTGCTAATACATTTGATTACAAGGCAGCAGCTGCATATCTAACAAAAAGGCAAAGTGTATGTTGCACATGTTTTGATATGTCTTGCAGATTATCCATTGAAAAAAGCTAGAGTTAGTTATTTTTGATGACACAACAAAATGTTACATTAAAAACAACAGTTAAGAACAAGCCAATTGACAAGGCAAACCTGTCAATTGCTTTTCTAAGTTGTCCAAAACATATAACATTTATGAACCACGCTGATTATGACAAAAACACCTTGCCTACATTGTGAAGGCTCATGGCTTTGATTCTTTTAATCAACATCATCTGGGGCATGATAGTAATTTAATTATAGAAAATAATAAGTTGAAAAAAGCAAAACATAATAGTTATAGAACATTAAAATAGAAGCTCAGCGATCAAAACCACCATAGTCTAAGGGTTAAATCAGACTCAGAGAATTCATGAAATATGAAAATAAATGCAGATCAACAATACCAGAAAATATGAGATGATGAGATCTGCGCTGCAATCCCCAGAAGTTCATTACTACAATTGAAACTAATAGTACATTCCGAAACCTTCATATTTGGGAGTTCTGCAGGCCAATATTATTTACCTTTTATGAATCAAATGAAGTCAAATTAAGAAATGCATATTCTTTCTCGGCCTTTTGGCTAAGATCAAGTGTAGTATTTGTTCTTATCAGTTTAAGAAATGCATATTCTAATATGAGTGTTTACTAACCCGTTAATAACCACTACATTTGGCAGGATAAATAATGCACAAAAAAAGACCATAATACCTAAAATCGGCTTTGTTTATTCACAGAAATGAAGATATAATGTCTTTAGAATTATTCTTTCTCCTCTTACAAAACTTCAAGTCTTTCCATAAACTTTGAGCCTCTACATGAAACTTTAACTATAGTAATTACACAATAGAAAGCAAATATTAAGGTACCGCTGATAAAAAAATTAAAATTACAAAAGGATAACTATCAAACTTCCATATGCCTACCAAATGCCCTCCATTATAATAAAACCAGTAACCAATCTTCACATTCTCCAATAACAGCTCCTATAACTCATTGAACACAGTTATAGACCACTAATTATGGATCAAGCACTTGAAACCAACTGGACATCACTGAAACAACACCAATCCACTTAAGTTTCTCCATGTGCACCGCCACTAGGTTAATTGACCAGAACAAGCCACTAAAAAGTAACTTCGACAAAATTTCAAAATAATAAACATCAGCCTTTCTTGAAAAGAAACCCTAAATCAGTTTCAACAACATAAAAGGAGGCCCGCCTGAATCAAAATTGGAGCATAACAGTAATCACCTCCGTCAGATATTGGATCTGCAATTTCACCTTAATCCACTAAAAACTAAACTATGTTACATCCAGATTCAAGCTACTCAAACAAGAAAAAAGAATCCCCACAAAGCCAATTTTCTTTAATTATCAACTAAACCCCAAGAAGGCAAGAAACACCAAATGACAAACCTCCAATCCCTCTTTAAGACACCAAAGAGAAAGAACATTAGATGCAGACTAGATACTAAGATAAAGTTCAATTTCCCCATCACAAAACCAAGTGTCACACAGAAATTAGCTAACAAAACCCCCCAAAAAGAAAGTACAAAATTAACCTACCTCTTTCTTCATAGCCCCTTTCTTAGCCGATACAGCAGCAGAGAGCAATCTGGGCAACCGATCAAATTCCGCTGCCTCGATCCTCGGCGGCCACACAGAAGGGTTCTTATAACACAAGAAAACATGCCTCCCATAGAACTCTACGGTCCCAGCGAGTTGACTCAGTCTGAAATCAGGCCGAGTGAAGCCGTACTCCGCGTCGCTACTGCTACACCCGCTGTCTCCTCCACCAAGCAAGCTTTCGCTCTGAAAACTACCCGACTGAGGGTTGGAATCCCCGAGAAAGCTGTCAAGATGGTCGGAAACAGTGATCGGAGACGAGGAAGATGATGGGTTGTTGGCGAACGTTAGTAGTTCGTCTCTATCTCTGGTGCTACCCATGGGTAAGGAGAGAAAGTTGGGATTTTGAAGATTGATACTGACTGATTCTAGAGAGAGAGAGAGAAAGATAGGGAGAGGAAGAGGTAAGTTCCAGCGGTATGGGAAGTGGAGTGCAAAATGACGCCAATAAATTGGACTTGGTCTTCGTTATGTCCAAATTTTCTTTTTGATTTTCATTTTCCCATCAAATAAATTTTAGATCTTTACTCTTAAAAATGGATTGCAGTCTGACTTTTGACATTAATACGTGGCATGCAGGGGAGTTCTTACTATCCAAGAAATTTAATTCTTCATTTTTTGTCAGAACAATAATTTTCAAATCTAAATCTAAACAATTACAATAAAAAATAATAATTATAACTTCAAAGTTTCTAACTTGCAAGGTGTTAATTTGTGATTTTGTCAAAAATTGGATTTTTAAAATAATTTTGGTAAGACTTTTTGTAAATATGTTTAACTTCAGCGTAAACAGCTCGTCAAATGAAAGGAAAAAACAGTGAAGCATAATTACAGAAGAAAAGAAAACTACTTTCATTTAATTTTGCATGTAAATGTATTCAATATAATTAGAGATTATATAATATTAAAGATTCAATTTTTATCATAGAAATGATTTATGGTTTGTGAAGTAGGATTGTGTATCAAATTGCTTTTATAATGGAAGGCAAAGGTTCAAATACTTCTTACTTTAGATAAATATAAAAAAATAAATATAGACATTTATTGCAGTATTTGAAAATCCCTACACACTCGAAAATAGAAGTAATACAAGTAATTAATTAACTAATTAACTCTATTTCACATGCTTGCATGTCTTGAAATCAGCAACAGCAATTGCAGAGTAGGTAGCGTTTTACTGATTGCAAATATACGAGACAGAATAAATGCAAAATCATTTCTGCTACCAAATCATCATTCAATACCAACCGACTTGTTGCATATACAAAGACATTACTTTCAAGTTGATGGTCCATCTCTCCCCAAACAAACCAAGAACTAACTAAACTTTTGATAGAAATCTACCTCTCAAATATAAACAGTCAACCATGTTTTCTCCTCTCCCAGCAGTTTGTAATTGGATGATCAGGCATTCCAAACATGAAGTCACACAGGCTTCTCGCCAGGCAAAAGAGAAAGAGATCCACTTTTGACGAGATTCTTTTTCTTTTGAAATATATCACTGAGACTAGGCATAAGAGCTTTCTTGGGTTTCTCCTTTTCCAGCTTCCGGGAATCGAATAGTTTCTCTGGCAGATTTGGCTTTTGAATCTGGTAATGGTGGGGGGGGGACGGCTCAGTACGCATCTCCATTTCTGCCTGAACTCGGGCTGCAACTTCAGCTGCCTTCTTTCGCTCTCGTTCATGCCATCTTCGCAGCTCTGCTTCCACTGCCTTTTTAGCTGCATTGGCCATCTCTGCCTTTTTCAATGCCTCCTCAGCTGCGGTCTTCATATCCTCAATCTCCTTCTGAGTTGCCTCCAACTTCTTGAGGGCCTCATTTTCGCTCGCTTTCACAGCTTCCACCTGAGCCATAGCAGCAGCCACTTTCATGTCTGCTAATCTAACAGATTCCTCAACTTTCCGGCTTAAAGCCTCAAACTCTTCCCTAGAGACTGTGACCTGGGCACTATACTCTGAGGTCGAGATACGTGCAGCATTAGTTCTCTCAGACAAGGATTTAATCTCATCAAGGGCTCTTGACTCAGCAGCTTTTGCTTCTTCAGCTTCTTCTAAAGCAACTCTCAACTTTTTCTCAGCTTCTTCAAGTGCAACTCTGGTGGTTTTAGCTTCTCCATTCAACTCTCTAGCCTTCTCTTTCATCTCCTCTGCTTCGTTTTTGGCCGTTTCAGTATCCAATGTTAGTTGGCCAAGTGTCCTCATCATTTCTCCGGTAGCACTTCTTAGTTTGGATTCTTCTCCAAGGCATGCTTCAAGCTCAGACTTACTTTTCCGGAGCTTTACATGCAGATTTCCTGCAGTAGATTCTGTTTCAGCTTCCTTCTCTTTCAGTTCAGAATATTCTATCTTCATATTTTCAAGCTGCCGCCTAAGAGAGTTAGCCAACTGGCTTAAGGATATTTTTTCTTCAGCCACCTTTTGCAGTGATTCCTTAGCATCATCCAACTCCGAGGTTACAGTTCTCACAGAATCCAAGTCTGAAGCCTTTGCAGTTTCCATCTGTTTCTTGAGAGCCTTAATCTGATCACATTTTTCAGCCAGCTTTTGTTGAACAATTCTAATATATTCTGGATCAGATTCATGATTCTTCGCAAACAATTTGTTAGCAGCCTCACTCATCATATTTATATAGGATTGCCTCTCAACATCCTTCTCCGCCAAAATTTTTGCTTGCTCTTGCTGGGCTTCAACATATGCATCCCTCACTTTTCCAATAGATTCCTGCAAAGAGGATATTTCCTTTGAGAGCTCACTAACTCTCTCCAAGTTTACTTTGGCTGCCTCTTCAGCTTCAGCTGCCTGTTTGATAGCAGCTACCTTTGCTTCGGAAGTTGCACTGCAATCTTGACGAATTTTCCTTAGTTCTTGCTTTGCAGAATCTAGTTCAGTAAAGACTGTCATATACTGTTCTGTAGTCATTTCTAGGTCCTGCTTTCGAGCACCATCTGATCCAGGAAGGTTTCCAGAATTTGCTTCTTCAATTTGCTTTGCCAGATTCTTTGCTGCTTCTGTCACTTTGATTGCTGCATCCTTGGACTCCTTAACAGCTTTTAGCCTGCTGTTCAGATCATCAACTGTTCTTTTGGCCTTCTCTACTTCCATTAGTGCCTGGTACCTAGTTATCTCAGCATTGTCTAGTCGGTCTATTAATTTCTTCAACTCTTTCTTGGCCAGGTGAAGCTGTGTCACTTTAGCCATTACTCTCTGCAATTAAACAACAAAGAAGTTTAATCAGCATTTGGAACTAATCACAAGCTATACACGATAAAATATTACATGTAGTACCAATAAATAGAATATAACTAAGCCATTTGCACATTCATCATATATTCATATTTGCAATTAAAAAAATATATATGCTGTCTATCCACAATATACATACAAAAGAATGAAACTTCCAAGTCACAATTAATAATGTTCAAGTAACACTCTAACAGAGGCTTTGGATCTTTTTTCTCTTGTATTAATGACTTGGATAAGACCGCTGACAGGAACTCACAGTAATCTGCAATTCCATCCTTGATCTCTCGAAGATGCAAGAAGATACATGCTGTGACTGTTGCAGTTAAAATCCTCAAAAGTAAAATGACAAACCTATAATGTTTAAACTTGACAGAGAAGAAACTCCTAAAGTTCATCTTGGAATTTGTGAGAAGAGAAATGGATACATTTTTAGTGCAACAGAGTTGCATACACACAATTATTATTAGGCTTCAATAGAAATTATAATAGAAAAAGCTACCATGCTAGTATCATTTTTGCATATTCTGCTAGAAGGATTAAATGGTGTTTCCTTGGCAGCATTATTAAAGGGGATGTGCATCATAAATACCCAGGATCAAACCCAAGAACAAGGGAGCATAGAAGGGTATGGTTGTCACTGAGCTAACACTTCTGGAAGAAGTACTAATAGCTTCAATAACAAAAGGGTTATGTACCTAAAGAGTGAAATAAATCAATGAAAAAAACCACATTCTCTTTACATCTGCCAAGGAGAGGAAATTTCAGAGGCAGACTGATAATAAAGAGAGATTTATATAATTTGTAACTCTTGGAGGAAGGTTTTCTTATGACAGAACAAGAACCTTTACTATTGCCAGAATTACTTCAATACATAAACAAGAGTGAAATCCCCTGGTGCCTTGTGAATAATTTTTTTCGTCATGAAAAGGCATTTATCAGGTCTCATAATGGGCTAGCTGTTGCAAGTGATAAAATAGAATTAGAAAATACCTCCGCAGACAGAGGGTTTGCCTTCTTGATGGCAGGCTTCTCCCCTGAAAGAGCACCTTCACCAAAAAGAGTGACAGCATCTTTAACAGACTGAAATGGCGCACTGGTGTCTATCTCTCCAACCTGTACCTTAGGTGAATCTGCTATACTTTGGCCTCCCTTTGCAACCATTTTGTTGTTCTTTTAATTATATATCAGAAATTCACCTGTCAAAGTCATTTAAACATTTCAGCACACAAACAATCCTTCTACCTTAAAATAATGCATTTGAAACAAGTTTTGCCAGTAGCAGAAGTGATAAAGTTTGATTAGTCTGATTTTCTAAAGAAAGTAAAGAGTGATGAATTGCCCATCTTCCTCTAACAATGAAATTGTTATGGAAAGAAGATAATCTAAATTATCACAAGCATTCTCTATTTAACTCCAGAAAGAAAATATAGGAAAAAAGTCAATTTCAACTTTTCAATGTCCAATAGAATTCCAATTTTAGATGGGTGTAAATGCTAACAATAAAGGAGTGGACCTTTGTGGAACGTACAATGAGAACCAAATTCCCAACTTATTAAGCCATTTTCATATGCCAAGATCCAATTACTCTTCCACCGAAATAATCCAACCCCTCAACTGAGATGAAGCAAAAAGACAGTAGAGTAAAGAGATGAGAAAGCTAGCATGACTAGTAAACCTACAAGCTATCTGTGTGGCAATCTGTTTAAGTGAAACATGGTCACCAAGAAAAACAGCATATCAGACAACAGAATAAAATCACGGAAACTGAAAGGGTCTGCCCCTAGAGACAATCTAGGAAACCAGTTCCAAGTCATGAAAAAGATACTTTCGACTGGTGCAGGGAACCTCTATTGTATTCGAGAGCCAAAAACTCCACATGCTCCTGTTTATGAGATTCATTAATGAACAACAAAATAATCTAAACAACCAACTTCAGATGGTAATCACATACACAACCTAATTTGCATTCCAAGCAAACATGCAAGATTAA